CCTCGAATAATACCTAGGATCTACTTTTTTCCATATTGTTTTTCTATTTCTTCATTAAACGAAGTTTTCTGTGAATTATTCTCACGGGCCAACTAGTATCACAATATTACTGTGGTTCTAAACATGCACAACTAAATTGTTATTTATTTATTTGGTAAGAGTAGAAACCAGAACCTACACTAACAACAATTTATTTTTTTAAATTCTATATATTTTTTTAATTCAGTCGCTTTTCTTTAAATTATTTTAATCTAAACTTTCTGGTGAAAACAAATTACTGATCTACAAAACAATACTGAAACCCATCTGGACTTACGGACTAGAACTATGGGGAACAGCCAAATTTTCTAACATCAAACGCATTCAATCCTTTCAGTCTAAAGTCCTCCGTACAATAGTCAATGCTCCCTTCTATGTAACCAATAAAACCCTACACCATGACCTTAATATCCCATTTATTCTTGATCTTATCCCAGCCAAATTTTCCAAATTTCACCAGAACCTTTCTCATCAACCAAATCCCGTTGTACAATCCCTATCAAGCACCACCCATCCCTACAATCCCCTTCGTAGGTTAAAGCGGCAGTGGCCACGAGACCTTTTGTAAATATGGATATTTTGGAGTTCTAGCAATAGCCAGATTCTCCACTCAAGTCATGAGTGTCTGTGGCTGTAGCGCTCTTACTCATCCTCCGTTGGTTTAAAATACCAGTGAAGTGGATGAGGGAGAAGCGTAGGGATCTCCTAAGCCTCCCTTTGCCCTCCATATGTGGAGGGGACAGAATTGGTTCGGAGATAACCTGGCAAATTGTAAATAATGTATATAGGTATGTGTTTTATATAAGGTGTTTGTTTTACTTTTATTTTAATTTACTTATGTGTATATATATATATATTTTTTTCTTTACTCTTTTGTTCTTTTTTCTTATTCTTTTGTTATTACTTTATTTATTTATATTTTTGTATATACGGTATGAATGCAATCTCTGAACTCTATTATAAGTGTCCTTAAACTGTGACAAACTGTAATATTCCTGAATAAAGTGTTTTAAACAAAAAAAAAAAAAAATTATTTCAATTGTTAAATATTCAATAAAATATATTTTCCTTGTTCCATATTATTATTCTATTTAATTTTTTTTTTTTGTATATAACTTAATAATTAACGAACTCGATTATCTCGATTATGTGTAAAAGCTGAGATCTGCCAGGCAGTTGCAAAACTATTCAATTCGAACCTCTCAACTTCTAGAATTTCGTCTACGATATATCTAAGATTGAAAAAAATATATACATAATACTGATACATGGATATATATTATTAAAAGCTATCAATTACTGATTACCAACGCTAGCCGAAGAGGCAGGCGCGAACTAGACAATCGATCGCGTGAAGTCGATACCTCGCGACGGCAGTTAGATCGATAGTGTGGCAGTGCGATGGCGACCAGGGAGGAAGCCGTCATGATCGGCTTCAACGAAGAAATTATGACCATGAAGAAGAAGATACAGCTCTGCGGTAGGATATCTACTTAAATATAATTGGCGAACCTCAAAAAATCTATATCATATTATAATATATATAATAGCTCGTGGTACAAACACTCGCCTAAACCGCGATGAATGGGCTTCATCTAATAACTTTTTTATTTACAAAAGTTCTCGTAAATGATACATTTTTAATCTGGCTTGGGTTTCTCGGGTTGTTTAGTTGAAGTCCGTCCCACTAAACTATATATAGGGTGTCTCAGTTCAGAGTCTTCAATGACCTCAGTAAATTTAATCACTGTTTTTTCAAAGAAAATTTTGTCTACTTTACGATGGTGTACTTAGAATTTAATTATCTTGAACAGTTTTTGATCAATTACTTCTTATTCTATAAAAAACCATAACCTACTTAAGAAGACACAAAATTGTTCTTTTTCTGTTTGGAATCGGTCCATGCATCAAATCTTTTATTGGAAATTTTGTCAAGAATCATCTCCCACAGTTTGGTAACTAAGAACCGAGACACCATAAGTTAAATAGATTAATTTTTCATTATTTAAATAATAGAAATGATTATTAAAGTAAATATATAAGACCGTGGACAATGTAGATAGAATGTGTCCATTTCCGGGTTACTGCTTGCAAAATTTTCAACAGTAAAAATACAGTTTTAAACACTGTATTTACACTAAAATATCATTATGTATCTTTATTAAGTTCTTAGATTCAGGTAAGGAGGTCTCTCATCCAGCTTCTTCTCGGTCACTTCTTAATGTACATTTCCTCCGTTTAGAATAATAATAATAATGCTTTTATATTCTGGGACGAGTCCCCTTTAGAATAATACAGCAAGACAGAAGTGTGGGCTAAGAAGCCTCAGGGATGCATAAACAAAAATACAGAGTAATTAAATAGTCATAGTAAAAAAATAATTTACTTTCTATGATCAGTTAATAATAAAAAATAGAAAATTGATAAAAAAAAAACATGAAGTAAAAATAATGAAGAACGAACTAATAATTTATATACATATTTACATTAGTGTCTATTTACAATTTTACGGAGACTGGATGGATATGAAGTGATTGAACAGGCGGGATTTAAAGGTAGGAAGGGTATTGGTTTGACGGATATGCAAAGGGATGGTGTTCCATAGGGATGAGGATCCGATAATGAACGATCTGCCGAAAGCAGCGGTTCGGTGGGCCATTATGTATAAATCAGAAGACCGGGAACGAGTATTGCGGGTACGAACAGAGGATTTGAATTGAAGGAACTAGGATACCACGAAATACTTACGACGGCAGGAAGGATAAAGCCCCTTCAACTCTGCATAAAAACGGGAAACAGCGGCGTCCCTTGGGATCCCGAAGATGAATCGTACAAAGAAATTTATCAAACGTTTTAGTTTAGCCTCGTGGTCCCCAGAGACGCCCTCATATACCGTATAGCAACAGTCAAAGTGATGAAAAATTAAGGAAGTGACTAGGAAGCCTACGGGTTTCAAAAGGAAATAGGTGATGGGAATAATTTAGACGTTTTGGGGTGAAAATGGTACGGCGAAAAATATTGATATTATTCATATTTATAACATAAATATTTATATATTTATATTTATAGTATAAATATTTATATTAAAGGCCATTTCGCTTATGTGTTAGTTGATGGTTGTAAGTTGGCATGTTAAATCTTGGAATTTACGCACAATGCAGTTGCTGTTATAAGTTGTAAAATATGTATAGTTTTGTTTCCTGAACCGTAAATGTTCTAATTTTTATAGCTCTAAGTTCAATAATGAAATCCGTTCATTTTCAATAATGAACCATTGTGATCGAACGAAAAGTTCAAAAACTTAACCCCTTCACAAAATTTGAGGTTTTACGTTTCAGGATACTTAGAAACGAATACGAAAAATAAATAAAAAATTGTTTGTCCGTCTGCCGTCCGCGCATTTTCTCAGAAATTACTAAACCGATTTTTTTTTCAAATTTGGATTTAAAATTAGAACTCACCCGAGGATGATCCTCCTTCATCGACATTACTATCCATCTTTTCCTTTCAAGATGGCGACAGAAAAATCTGCGTTGCGCCTAAGCGAATGCACAGATTTCAATGAAACTTAGCTAAAGCCTTTTTCTCGATGCCCATTAAATTTACCTATTTATCAATATGACATACTTCAACGAAAAGAAAATGGAAAAAAAATTACGATGGATGGTAAAATTAGATTCCGAATAACTCAAAAATTATACACTCTTTTGTCGATATTGTAAATGGTTATTTAAAAGTTTACGGTTGAGGCTCTACAAAAACATCAAATTCTTCCCGTATCCAATCCTTACAATCCAAAATCCTTGGTAAAATCCTAAATGCTCCTTATTATGTAAGAAATAAAATTATCCGTAAAAACCTCAACATTCCTCTTGTGGAAGACTTGGCCCAAACTAGATATTTCTCTTTTAATTCCAAACTCTTTGGTCACTCCAATCCTCTAGTTCGTAACCTTTCATCCAATACAATTTGTGACAACCGTCCGAGGCGTCTGAAAAGAAGATGGCCAAGGGACTGTGTCCCAGAATAAAGTTATTTTCTATCTATCTATCTAAATTAATTTATCTTAGAAGATTTACAATGGGTAGCATCTTCACAAGTACCTTCATGTTATATATTCCTATAGATGATTTACTGGTTGTATGTATGTTTACAATTGTAAATTTCAATAAAGTAATAATAAAAAAGTTTACGGAATTTCCTAAAAAAAAAATCGTTACAATCGGACAATTAGGAGCAAATATATGGTCTCTAGATGTTTTTTTTTTTGTGTGTTATACTGCAAAGATTATATCCTTTGTTTTGGTTTTTGATTTTTTGAATGTATTACTCAAGTAATGCCAATGTTTTTAGTATATTACTAATGATTAAAAACAAATGTTTAGTCCAATAATTGGAATATTCTTTTATTTATTTTTCCTTGTCTCTAGGAAGGTAATGTTACTTTAGATGTATAATTGTTTGGAAATAATAAACCATTATGAAATAATTTGCAGCATTTTTTTCTATGGTATACAACATTTAGAAATTTCAGCCTTATCACAAAATTTCAACTGACTATTTAACAATAATTATATTACTTTGGCTTTCCCCTTTTCCCTCATGTCTGGGGTAAAATATTGTTTAATTTATGTTTATGTTTCGTGTCTAATTTATTGATTTCATTCAAGTCCATAGGTATTCAAACAGGCTTTGATTAACTATAATGAAGCTCTAAATATTGATTCTTAAACAAAAAATGACCTATTGACTTAACACAATTATCTCCATCTCACAGATTACCAGACCTGAAGGAATAACATCACAGTTATGACTTAAAAATCGATAATAAATCGAATATATAAACTATCGATATATGTACGTAGGTGATGAGTAGGATCGAGCTGAGATGGGTCGAGGTATCGAGATAAAAAAAGGACTTCGGCTTGGAGGGCTATAGAGCCCGGGCAGTGACCCCGGCTATGCTAAAGACGCAGGCTCTTGCATCATGTCACGGCTCCACTGAGGAGGTGTCTGCTTCACGATGTAGGGGATAACCCACCCGTGATATCTGCCCGCTTCACGATGTAGGGGATAACCCACCCGCGATATCTGCCCGCTTCACGATGAAGAGGATAACCGATCTGTTAGCCATCTCGTTTAGCATCTCTCTCTTTAAGGGGAACTTCTATCGAAAGTGTAAAGGCGAAAACGATCTTCTCGAAAGCACACCAATAGAATTATTTTTTTTTATTATTTCTTAATGATATTTACAACTGTATTAAATAAATACATCTAGTAAATTTGAAAATAATGGATATAATGACATGAAAACACTTGCTGAGTAACTACCCAATGGTAGCACTCTAATGATATGTCTACATTAGGAGATCACGGAGCCATCTTCTTTTCAGAGGCCTCGGAGGGTTATAAGGAACTGAAGAGGAAGCAAGGTTAGAAACGAGAGGGTTTGGATGATTCTGAAGTTTATTATGGAAGGACAGGTATCTGGATTGGGCCAGATCTGAAACATAAGGAACATTAAAGTCATTATGGATGGTTTTATTTGTAACAAAGTAGGGAGTATTGAGAATTTTACGAAGATTTTGGATTGTAAGGACTGGATAATAGAGGAATTCGATGGTTTAGTGGAGTCCCATAGCTCAACTCCCTAAGTTCAAATAGGCCTTATTATAGTCATGTATATGAGTCTTTTGTAATTAATTGGAAGTTTAGAGCGTTTGTCTAGTAAGTGCTGAAGTAACCAATAGAATAAATCTGTACCTTAGAAAAAAATTACTAACAAATTTAAGAAAATTGCACTGAAGAAACAATAATACGGTAGACGTTAATAGTTAAAAACCCGTGATGAATGTATATGTATATATCATTGGTGATACTTGAAGGAAGGATTTCGTTCTGAAGCTTTCTTTCCCTCTAAAATAGATTTTTTTTTTCATTGAGGCACGCTCATTTTTGTGAATGATCTGAGCTAAATACTTAAACAATCACAAAATGTATTGCTTTTAAATTATAACGCGCATACAGCTACTAAATATAAGAACGTGTCAAGAAAATGTATCTTCAAAAGAATTATTGTTCCTGTAATTCGTGTGTTTCTACTTTCCTGTCTATACCAGGTAAGGAAAGTATTGTGATCGGATCAAATTTCCGATATGCAGTTTTCGACGGATGTATACGTTTCAGAGCCCTCTTATCTGAAAAACACATTTTTAGCCATTCATCTGTCTGTCTGTGCCAAGATTTTCTCGGAAACTAGCGAACCGATTTTGATGCTTCTTTTTTTATTTTGTAGAGTTTTGACTACTGATACCTGTGACACAAATTAGGTGCTCTATGCTCAATAGCTGCTGCACAATAAATGAAAAACATTTTTTTAATAATAATAATAATAAATCTTTTGAAAGATAATTCAATTACCAACAAAAAAAAATCATCGAAATTGAACCAGTATTAGCGATGATACAGCTTATTCTATTTTCTATTTTAATTTCTTACTTTCCTACCTATACTAGGTAAGGATTGCGAGGAAGAAACGCTCACAGGAGAAACGCTGTGATCTCTTAGAGTCTCGCTTTTTCCTCCACAACTGAGAGGACAAGACTGGTCCCTTGGCTGGTTGTTAATGTAGTGTATAGTATAACTGCTTTTTAGATGTTTATTCCATTTAAGTTTAATTTTGTGTCAAATTAGTATCACAACCTAGACATTTGAATAACCGAAAACACAGTCAAAAAACGATTAATTTTCTAATTTTAGCCAAAGCTAAGATGAATTTCTATAAATGACTCAGCAGTTCTGAATCCGGATCTGGCCAGGGGGTCATGGTTTGGAGAGACTCTTAGTATAAGATCTCAGGATTGTAAGCGCGTACTGATTAGTTTTGCTAGCAATTTTACTTGCCACTGACTTCAATTTAATATATATTAACTTCTCTAAGTTTTAAATAATATTTACTGTTTCTCTATAAATTAAAAATCATCATCATTCCCACTGAATGAATAGAATTATAAAACTAATACTTGTTGATAGAGGGGCAGCGGAAGGCGGAATATGAAGAATTCGACGCCGAAAAGAAAAGGATTATGGGACAAATCAGGGCTCTGAAAAAAGAGATCAGAGAAATGAGTTCTGCTAAACCGACTCAGGTAGGTCAAACAAATTCAACAATTTTTGTAATTATTATTAAATCTATAATAAAATAAAATCGTTTAAACAATTTTTTTTTTCTTCATAAAATTATATAAACACGTAAAATCGATGGTATATTGGACCATCAATTTTGAATGAAAAGTTGCTGTCCTTAGTATACACGTATCCCAGGCGTATATGTATTGTAAATACGTAATTTGTGTTTCTAAGTTTTCTTTTTCGTGTTAGACTGTTCACAGCCCTTTTTACGAGAAGCTGCTATTTGAACTTGTGGGAACCTCGAAACATATATTTCCAATGGAAATTGGGATTTAAATTTTTCACGTAATACAAGGATATATGAAAAGTATGATATCATCAGTACTCGCTCCTTTGTTGTATATCATTTACACATATGGTATTTCAGACAGTGTCAATACTCCGACCGTGACTTACGCAGGCGATACAACAATATTGACAATACATCAAAATTCAATATACTCCTCACAGACTCCACAATAGCCTAAACAAATTCCACGACTGGAGCAAACTCAGGAACATTCGAATCAACCAAGACAAATCACTACATATCACTTTTACCCTTCGACGTGAAACCTTTTTCTGCAATGACTATTCGTTTTAGGCCCTAGTTCTGGAGCTTTAAACTGATTCAATAGCTTCAAATAGATCAAGGAAAATGGTCTTTAAAAAAAACGTAAAATCAAAATTTTGGAATTTTATTCAAGCAAATATCATATGGGGTGACTGTTAAAAAAAAGATAATTATTATAAGTATCTGTTGAAATAAGATTTTCTATATTTGCTAAATTGAACTCCTAAAATATTCCAGTGCCCGGGAGGCTATTTAACTCTGATATTAATTCCCCGCCCTCACCCTCTGGCTTGGAAAACTCAGTATAACGTAAACGGCGAGGAAGAGTAGGACAAATAATTTTTTTTTTTTTAAATTGCTGGTTTTATTTATTTAGTATAGTTGTGAATTTCAATAAATAAATAAAATACAAAATATTCATTTCGTACGTTCAATCCGTTCTTGGACAGCACCAGACCCTCTTGAGTGTCAAGCCCGAAGTTACTCATGTTGACCGTAATGGGATCGCATGTCTTCCATGAGAGCCATTTTTTTCCTTCCTCGAACTAAACGCCGGATGTGGAAATCGCATGTCATCTCTAATTGATGGAAATGGGTCTTTTTTTTTAACGGTTCTTGGCATTTTTTCTTTTGTCCTTTTCCGAAATGATTCATGAACGATTCGATCGCACGTCAATAGACATGTTTGTTAATCCAGTTTAAACTAAATAGATACTTAAAAAAAAATCTGACTCGGCTATATTTATTAGAGATTAAATATAAATATCCTCATATAAATTTTAGCTCCATTTTTATACTAAACTGAATTAAGTAGCTAACTTGATAAACTTATTCTCTTCTAATGGCATGGAAAGTATGCGTAGATCAAATTTATACCTTCAAGACTTTATTTTCCAATATAATTTAACTTATAAGTAGCAACGAAATGAAGCAGTTCATTTTAACCAAGGGTTCATTTTAATAGTATCTATGAAACAATTTTATGAAAAAAAGTTCTTTTTTATTTTATTTTATTTTATTTTTAAAGCAAAGTTCCGGATTTATGGTAAAAGTTTAACTTTTATCTATTCAAGTTCTCAAAAAAAAAAGTTTCGTTAAATGAAAATAAACAATAATTGAGCTTACATGAGAGTTATATTTTGTCTTAAATGAATTACACATGATTCTAGTGTGTCGCTTGTTTGAGTAGCAATGAATAAAAGTCAATTTTTCAGATCGATTTTTTATCAAAATCGGCAGAACTTTTAAATAAAAGTTTTTTGAAAATAAAGTTCTGTAAAACCTTTACTTGAAAAGTTGTAAGGGAAGAAGTTCTAGTTACAAAAGAACTGAAAAATTACCAACAATAAAAATTCCGATGATTCTGAAATCTTTTAAAAATAATTTTTTTTTCCGTTTCAAGTCCTTTTTAAAAGTCTATTTTTCTGTTAATGTACCTGATTTCTGCTTAATAGTTAGGTGATGGGGCACATCATTTTTTTGATTTTTTTTTTTTTTTGATTTTGGTTATTGAACAAATGAAAATTCTATATTATAAGAAAACAGTTACCACAATGAACCCTAGCTAGAATAAAATGGACAATACAAAATAATAAACCAAATCAAATGTACAAATTACATACGAAATGGCATCTGTATCTTTGATAAATATTATCAGATTTTCATGATTTTGATTGTGGATCCATACCATTAGTTGGATGATACATAGTCAGAACGCAATCAGTTTTTTAAACATTTTTATTGCCAAATTATATAAACTGACTGCATCCTGAATATGTATATGTAGAACAGTCTACGTATATCCTTATCATAGTATAAATTGTAAAATTTTTGTATTACGCGTGAATAAAGCTTCCTTTTCTTCATAACTTTATTTCCTGAATTCTATTGTAAATATACTTATTTTTTCCAATTGAAAGAAAATCTTCAAATGAAGACCCAGTCAATGCATTTGACATAGAATTAACGAAGATAAGGCGTACCGACGAAAACCGACGTTTCATAAATATAAAAAAATTAAGTTGTGTACTTTAGACCACACGATAGAAATGAAAACACCAACAACACGAGATTAATAATATGAAATATAAATAGGATGAATTATAAAGAGGATGAAATGCTGAACAGTTCACTTGCTTACATTATGCAATTTCGATTTTTAGTTTCTGAGACATTTTAACCCATATCTCCAATAAACTTGTTATCATTTGGTTATCAACACTATTATTTTCTTTTCTCCGCCCTAACACGGCGCAGAGTGGGGCAAGCAAGGGAAAACTCGAGACATCGGCTAAATCTTTTTTTTTTTTACAACTCCAAAAATTAGATGTACTGTTTTATTAAAACCTTGTGGAGTTCCCGAAAGTATTTTCGGATGGAAGAAAATACATTATTCACTGTTATTATGGAATAGTTCAATTGAAAAAAATAAAAATAGATTTAGCCGATGTCGCGAGTTTTCTCTTAACAAAGGGGATGAAATGATGAACATTTTCCTCGCTAACAATATGCAGGTACGAATTTTAGTTTTTGAGATATTTTAATCCATATGCAGAAACACTTCAAATAGTCGAGTCCAGCTGACTTTACACTAGCGTTACATATCGGAGATGTGACGGCTTAATCTAATTCACTCTCCACAAAAAGTGCAAAACGCGCCTAAAGAAGTTTTCCCTTAAATTAATTGAGAAGTTTATCTTTAATGTTTCTTTAATTTTTTTTTCGTTTTTTTTTTTTTTTTTTTAACTTAGCCATAATTTCAAATAAAGTAAAATAGTAATTTATAGTGCACTGAAGGGCCAGAACTATGTTTTGTATTTTCCAGGTGGGGAAAGTTAAGTTTTGAAGCCGCTTTTTGCATCATCCCTCCTTAACCAATATTATTACAAATAATATATTTCAAATGAATATCAAAACATTACAAGAAAACTCATTTTATTGACTGTATTAAGTTTGAAACAATAAAATAAAAGAACCTTTTTTATTTAGTCTGAAAACATTATTTCTTTCGAAATTAGCAGCCCCTAAATCCTTTCCTTCGCACCTCACTTGACCCCGCTTGGTGCAGCACTTCAAGTAATGAAGTAGACTACCATCTCCGAGCGAGCCATGCAGTGCCATCTGTGTGCTCAACTGGGAACGAACAACTCAAACTCATTTTTTGAAAAAAAAAAAACTACTCAAATTTCATTTAAAATAAAAAAAAAAATTAATTTAAGACTTATCGACCATAAGCGCAGACTTCAGGAAGGGGAGGAGAAAGTAAGGGAGCGATCGCCTCTGCCAATAAAAGTGTTAAGGGGATGAGAATATCGTTTCTCTATAATTTGAGGTAAAAAAAATTAAAATAAATAATAAATAAATTACATTAATGGATAGCCTGCTAGACTAAGGCCTATTAGTAGGTATGTAACTATTTTATTGATACCTAAATGTTACTTTTATTTATATTGCCATTTATATTAAAAAATAATAATAATATATATCAACGTATACTGGGATTTTACGATTTAAACACCTCTTAATTTTCACCTGATATTCTTATCATATTTTCCGAAACAAACTAGTCCAACTGTGAAAATCATTGTATTTTTATTTCAGGTTATACACACTAAGAAAACAAAGATATTTTTCACTTGTTTACATTATTTATTTATATCTCACTTATTTATTTTTAATTGAAAAAGTTCTAGAAATGTATCAATGTTATATAGGCTGTGTCTCCTCCACCCTGTGTTTAATCTGAACAATTACGTTACATAAATTTTATTATTTTTTTTTTAGAAATTTTCAAGCATAATAATAAATTTTAAAAAATAATAATAAATTAATAAAATCCTTACGACTGTACAGACATATAACCAAATTATTATGTTATTATTTATAATATAAAGGTTTTAAAACTCGTGAAGCAATATATAGGGATAAATTAATAGTGTACATTTTATTTTGAAAATGTAGTTCGAAATTAATTAAAATGACATGTAAAGAGATTTAAATAAATATAAATATATTTATATATTGGATATTTAAATTAGGTGGAGGTTTTAGTAATGTGTTATACTCATTATGAAAAGGGCAATCCAGCCCATAAGAATTTTATTCAAAATAGGTATGTAAAGATAAAACAGAAAATTTAAATGATTAATCATCAAATGTAATTAGGATGTGATGAATTTTTTGGTTTTCAAGAGTTTGTTCCCTTGAAAATGGCCTAAGGGCTGAAACGTCGGTGTAATAAATTACTAATAGTGAAGTCCTAATCAAAAAGTTTAAGAAATATATATTAATTAAAATTTAAAGGCTGATGTTCATGTTCTAATGATGTTTTTATTAATTATTTTTGTATGCAATTTAATCCTATTATAATTGCTTCTAGTATTCGTTGATTTTTGTGTTCGTATTTAATGATATACAAAATTTAATGTTCAAGTTCCTAATTTTCTCTTAGAAAGAATTTTTCGTTTTCGTTTTTAATATTTTTTGAAAATTATGTAACTGTGTTTTACTCAATAAATATATTTAAAAACTCATCTTATATCGTTATCTTTTAGCAAAATAAAAAATGTGTTGGTATTTTTTATTAATAAATTGATTTAGTCGAGTGGATCTCACAGATTCGTAGCTACCTTCAATTTGAATCTTAGGCTAGCAACCTTTGGAGTTTTAATGAATAACAAAAAATATATAAGAATTTGTTTGAATAATTATTTATTTTAGAACAAAAAATAAATATATACAGTATTAGATCATATAGTTTTTTATATGTAATTTTTTTTTTATATATTTTAAAGATTAAATCCCACTATAGCGGCTTTTTTCAAATAGGACTAATATGAAACGAAAATATTTAAGGAAAATCTATTTATCCCTTTGCTTACAGTTGGTAGACCTGGAAGAGCTGAAGAAGAGCGGTAGACCGATGCGGGAACTGAAGAATTATGAGGGAAAGACCCCTGAAGAGGTGATGGAATTATTGGACCTACATTGCATCGACCTACAGAAGAAATTGGACCTCACAAAGTATGAAATCGGAAAGGTATTACTAATGTATTGTGAATTTATTAAATAGCTTAGTAAAAAAAAAAAAAGAAAAAAGAAACTAGACAAAAAACTGCAAAAAAATAATAATATCAATAACAATGTACCTAAATCATAGAGAATTTTTGAGAAAAAAAAAAAATGTGTTCGCCCGAACAGGGACTTGAACCCTGGACCCTCAGATTAAAAGTCTGATGCTCTACCGACTGAGCTATCCGGGCTGGTGAAAAGCGGGTAAAACTATAATCAGTGGTTCCCCATGTGTTTTATAAAACAATAAAGATTTATTTATTTATATTTATTGGTTTTTATTTTATAATTATCGGCATATTATTTATTTTTATTATTAATTTTGCAACAATGATCTTTTAAAATTATCATCTTATAAACTTAAGTTCCTTAAAGAGAATCGCTTTTGAAGTTCTAGGAACAAAAGAGAGACACGTCAAAAGAACAGAATGGCTCACAGAAGACAGAAAACAGAATCAATGAGAAAAAAACAAGCATATATAAGATGACTCAGCACAAAAACATCAACAGATTTTTACTGACAAAAGAAAAGAAAACTTCTACGGATCGAAAATCGAAAACAAACGACTGTCGGAGGAGGACACGATGGACGGACAGGAATCGAGAAACTTGCTGTAACAGAAGTTTGGTAAATTTTATATTGAAGAAATTCCGAAGGAAAAAAAAAAAAAAATGAACGCCCGAACAGGGACTTGAACCCTGGACCCTCAGATTAAAAGTCTGATGCTCTACCGACTGAGCTATCCGGGCTGGTGAAAAACTGGTAAAGCCATGATGAGTGGTTCCTCGTGTATTTTATAAAATAATACAGATTTATTTATTTATGTCTTTTCCAACTCCTACCCAGTTGAAGCCGGTGTTCCTGAAGGTAGCGTCTTGAGCCCCGTCCTTTATATCCTTTTTACCACCGATATCCCTGTCCATCCCAATACCTTCCAGGCAACATTTGCTGATGACACCGCCATCCTATCATCCAACTCAGATCCCGAAATAGCATCTTTAAATCTGCAAAGGCACCTCTCCATGATTGAGCACTGGTGTAATAAATGACGAATCAAAGTAAACGAATCCAAATGCAAACACATTACCTTCACACTCCGCCGCAGATCCTGTCCATCAGTGAACTTTAATTCCATCCAGCTTCCTTTTTCAGACACAGTCCGGTATCTTGGCTTTATCTTAGACCGAAGACTAACGTGGAACCCACATACTAGACTTAAAAGACAAGAACTTAACCATATGGCCAATTATACAGACTACTGACCAGAAAATCTCAACTTTCAATTGACAACAAATTACTGATCTATAAGACAATCCTGAAACCTATTTGGATCTACGGACTTGAACTTTGGGGGACAGCAAAATTCTCTAAAATCAAGCGCATCCAATCCTTTCAATCCAAAGTTCTCCGAACAATAGTCGATGCTCCGTTCTATGTAACCAACAAAACCCTACATCATGACCTTAATATCCCATTTGTCCTTGACCTTATCCCTGAAAAATGTTCAAAATTCCATCAGAACCTTATCAATCATCCAAATCCCGTAGCCCAATCCCTATCTAGTTCCACTCATCCCTACAACCCTCCTCGAAGGTTGAAGCGGCAGTGGCCCAAAGATCTTTTATAGTATTATTTTGGAGTTCTGGCAATGGCCAGATTCTCCACTCAAGACATGAGTGTATGTGGCTAAAGCGCTCTCGCTCAAACTCCACCGGCTTTAGCACCAGTGAGGCGGTTGAGAGAGTAGCGCAGAGATTTGGGTTCCCCGCCTGATTGTATATAGGTATGACTGTATTTTTACGTTTTTAATTTACTTATATTTAGGTTACTTTTTTTTATTGTATATAGTTTTTATTTAGTTATTATTTTACTTTTGTTAATTTTTTTTTTGTATATACGTTGTGAATGTGTTCATTTATCAATATAATTATTGTCACCGTGACAGAATATTATATGTCTAAATAAGTATAAAAAAAAAATAAAAACAAATATTTATATTAAATAGCATATAAATCGCATTCTAATATTCATTATTATAATTTTGTTTTCTAATCTCCCTTTATATGAACTTTATTTAAACAAATACAATATATAAATATATAATATACAAATATATTTCTTCTTCTAGCTTGGTCCTTCTGTTGCCTGAGAACATTTTAAGGATAGAGTAGTGGAGGCGATGGACCGGCAGAAATAGAGATACTTGCTGATGCAGGAGTTTGATGAGGAAAACTTCTTATTGATAAAATTCCTGAGAGATCAAAAATCCGGACTGTTAATAAGGATAAATAAATAAATAAAGTAATAGTAACTAAAGTTTTAATAAAACTTAACCAAAGAGAATTTTTGAAAAAAAAAAAATGCGTTCGCCCGAACAGGGACTTGAACCCTGGACCCTCAGATTAAAAGTCTGATGCTCTACCGACTGAGCTATCCGGGCTGGTGAAAACCTTGTAAAGCCATGACGAGTGGTTCCTCATATATTTTATAAAACAATAAAGGTTTATTTATTTATATTATTTTATTAATGGAAATCTATTATTCATTATTATAATTCTGTTTTCCTAATATTCTTTTATATGAATTTTATTTAAACAAATTCAATATATGAATATATTTCTTATTGCTTGGTCCTTCTGTTGCCCGAGGACATTTTAAGGATAGAGTGGTGGAAAGTTTTGCTGGTAAAGGACTGTCGGAGGAGGACGCGATGGACCTGCAGAAATAGAGATACTTGCTGATGCAGGAGTTCGGTCGAGGAAAACTTCATATTGATGAAATTCCTGAAAGAAAAAAAATCCGGATTGTTAATAAGGATAAATAAATAAATAAAATAATAGTAATTAAAGTTTTAAAAAAACTTAACCAAAGAGAATTTTTGAAAAAAAAAAAAAATGCGTTCGCCCGAACAGGGACTTGAACCCTGGACCCTCAGATTAAAAGTCTGATGCTCTACCGACTGAGCTATCCGGGCTGGTGAAAAACTTGTAAAGCCATGACGAGTGGTTCCTCATATATTTTATAAAACAATAATATTTATTTATATTATTTTATTAGTTCCATTGTACTATTCATTATCATAATTGTTTTTACTATATTTTATTTAATTAATTTAAATTTTCATGTTTTTTAATCTACAAAATTACAGATTTAATATTTCTGTTTGGCAAAAAAAAATAATGTTTTTATCGAATAAAGTACATCAGGTAGTATTAAAAAACAAATAAAGTAATAAATACAATTATTTTAAACTGCATATATTTGTTAATAAAAAAACAAAACAAAAAACACAAAATTTGTAATAATGACAAATAATTTATAATTTTAATCAAGTATTGGAAATTAAAGTATATAAATGACATTAATTCGTCAGGATATCTACTACGTCTGGAGGGGAGGGGGGCATCCCCAGGCCGCAGGGATTCACGAAACCTTAATTAAATAAAATATGGTATAAATATTATTTATAATATTGACTCAACCAATCGGAACATCGCAGCCCAACATCATATGAAAACCCCCACGGTACATCCTCGCTCTGATTAGTCAGCTGAGGAACATCTTCCAGCGCACGCGGGACTAGAGCTTGAAACCGACCATCAATGTGATGACCCGGCAGGTAGTCCTAGCCTCATGTGGGACAAGAAGTCCTCAATCTGAACAGCTAGGAAGGACATAAGGCGACCATCGCCGATTCCGGAGACTAGTCAAAACCTTCATCAACAAGAAGAGGACTGTCCTCCTGAAGTCGGGGAGTGAGCTGCTGACACCTAGTGAACAGGCTAAACTCCTAGCCATAAGCCAGAAAGTGGAGGATGCTGAGCAGACGGATAATGGCCGACCAATACTGGAGGGACCTATCTTCTCTGCCTTCAATCAACTATAGTCAATATATTACGACGCACTAAAAGAAATAAAGCGTCAGGACAGGATGAGATTCAATTTGTTTTACTGAGGGTGCTCCGTAGGAAGTGTAAAGCATTCCTAGCGGACATCTTCAACTCATGCCTGCGAATCTCATATTTTCCTACTACATGGAAACAAGCGAAAGGAGTACTGCTACTCAAGCTGGGGAAGAAAAGAGACCCAGCAGAGCACTATCTACCGATCAGCCTTCTCTTGCACATCAGCAAGGTCTTCGAAAGGCTAATCTCCCACCACCTCATGAACCACTGCAAGGAGGAGCGCATAGTACCACCGGAGCAGACTGGTTCCCAGCGAGGAGTCGCCCGCGAATACCATCACCCCAAACTCCAGGCCCACACGATAAAACAGATGAGTCGCAACAGAGCTATGTCGATCATCTCTCTGGATTGCAGTCAGGCCATTGACTACGTGTCTCACATGCATCTACATCTACATCTTTCCGAGCTATCCAGCGGAAGATCATTTGTCGTACGAGTCGATGGGGACTTTTCACCTACAGTTCTCACTACTCGCGGAGTACCTCAAGGGTATTTAGTGGAGTCAATACTGTTTTCGATTACTCGGCACCAATAGTGGCATTCAAGCATCCAGATGCGGTTGCAGTAGCCTACGCGGATGACATCAGGATTTATGCTACCAGAGTCAATGCTGAGAGGGTCACTCTGGCACAGATCGCCTCATTGTAGAGGAACTTAAGGCAATAGGTATCAGAGTGAACTTTACGACGACTAATGCCACCTTCATGGCCTCCCAGAAGGGTAAAAAGCCTGGGTTTTTTCGGGAGCGAGCGAGGGAGATTAATACCAGAGTTAAAAACTCCACCAGCTCCAGAACGCGAACTCTTACTTATATTATTCCGTACAACTTCGGTTATCAGGTGGCCGGCCGACGCGCGGTGATGTGGACACAGTATGAGGGATCAGGATTCAAGTCCTTTTAAAACCTTAATTACTATTATTTTATTTATCCTTATGAACAGTCCGGATTTTTTTTTCTCTCAGGAATTTTATCAATATGAAGTTTTCCTCAACCAAACTCCTGCATCAGCAAGTATCTCTATTTCTGCAGGTCGATCGCGTCCTCCTCCGACAGTCCTTTACCAGCCATACTTTCCACCACTCAAACCTTAAAATGTCTTCGGGCAACAGAAGGACCAAGCAATAAGAAATATATTCATATATTGTATTTGTTTAAATAAAATTCTTATAAAACTATATTAGGAAAACAAAATTATAATAATGAATACTAGATTGCCTTTAATTTAAATAATATAAATAAATAAACCTTTATTGTTTTATAATACATATGAGGAACCAATCGTCATGGCTTTACAAGTTTTTCACCAGCCCGGATAGCTCAGTCGGTAGAGCATCAGACTTTTAATCTGAGGGTCCAGGGTTCAAGTCCCTGTTCGGGCGAACAGTTTTTTTTTTTTTTTTTCAAAAATTCTCTTTGGTTAGGTTTTTTAAAACTTTAATTACTATTATATTATTTATTTATTTATCCTTATTAACAGTCTGAATTTTTTTTTTCT